TTGTTTTTATTTCCATTTCTCTTCCCTTTTTTTTCTCCTCTGTCTTTCTTTAGATTCCCTTCCTATTTGCAAAAGATTTCTTTATTTTATTGGATATCTGATTTTATATTTTTTTATCCTTTAGACATGGATTCTCCTCTCTTTGAAAATGTTGTGATAGTTGATTTAAGTTTTTTGTCTTATAAGTCTGACTATCCTCAAAGATGCTTTCTGTTGATGTATATTTCTTTTCCCTTTATATGGACTATATTTAATTTCTTTGTTTTTCACATTAAAATTTTGGGCCTATAAAATAATGTATATCATACTGCAATAAATATAACAAATCTGGAAATCTTACATCCCTCTATCCTCACCCAAGTTTGTTGTCATTACTGTTTGTTTTTATTCAGTGACTTTCCTGAACTAATTCTGTAGTCTCTATCTGGCCACTGAATCCTCTAGTTGGTTGGCTTAATGACTGAAGAGAGAGTTCCTTACATGCCTGTGTCTTAGTCACTTCAGACTGCTGGGTCATGGGCTGATTGGCTTATGAACAACTGATCTTCTTTCTCAGAGCTCCAGCGGCTAGAAAGACCAAGATCGAGGCAGCCGTATGGTTGGCACCTAGTGAAAGCCAACTTCTGTGAACAGCACTTTCTCTCTGCTTCTTCATATGGTGGAACAGAAGGGCAGCTCTTTGTGGAAAGCCTTTCCCATTCATGAGGATTCTGTTCTCCTAATTTACACATTTTTCGAATCCCCATCTCTTTCAAGCTTATGCTGATTAGGTTTTAACATAGGTTTTGGGAAGGGCACATCACATTCAGATCATAGTAATCTAGAACCAAGAAATATCTCAGCGCTTGCCTGGGCTTTCTTGTGTGCATGTCGGCTGCACCTTCAACACTTACCCAGCCAGCTGATAATCCTGCCTCTGTCTTTATTTCCAGCTTTCATAGAGCCTCAGGGTTAGCTTGAGAAGAGTGTTTAGAAGCTTTCCAGACTGTACACAGTCTCACACGTGCACATGTCTTTTTAGAATTTGAGGATTATAATGGAACTTTCAGAGCTTCTATTGACATCTCTGTCCCATGAATTTTATTAGTAGTCTGTTGTTTTCCCCAAATGTTACATACTCTTGAGGCAAGTATAAAGTGAGGACACTTGCCACTTGTTTTTGATAAATCCTTTATATATAAGAAAGATTTTTGTACTGAGAGAGCTGCTGTAATGGTCAGTTTCAGACAGTGTCAGATTACGACAGATAAATGGGAATGAGGCTTTGGCAAAGCTTTAGCTCCCTTTAACTTATTCTGTGGCTACCAGCATGTATAGGAATGCAGATTGAGATTTTTTTTGAAGTTACTGTGGAGCTAGACAGTAGACAATGAGAAGAGGTCAAGCTAAGATACATAAAACACACATTTGAAAAACTGAGATTCAGATAGTTCTTGACTGGAAGCACTCCACATTGCTATAACATTTGATTCCTCTTCAGAGCCATGGAAAAGTTGATTCGGACTATTTTTGTCATTTTAAAATTGCTTTTATAGTGGAGAAAATTTTCAGACATCTTTGTGATTTCCATTATCACCTTCATGTTTTATTATATGTTTCATGAGCTTATAAAGTGACTCTACTTGTCACTGAAGCCATATATAAGGTGATACAACAGCATTCATATAGCATTTGCTGTCAAAATTATAAGCAATTAGTATTTGAGGGTATCCTTTAAAAGGCATTTTCACAAATAGTTTCTGGTGTATAGACCTTGTTGGTTTAATGAGAAATATGAGAATAAAACAAGATTTGATGGAAACAGAATTTATTAAAGAGACAAAAATTAAAGCATCAAGGAGTTTTGAAGACTATTCTCTATATTGTCTGAGGTGAGCCATATTTCTGTCAAGGATGAATAGATATTTTTCATTTTTATAAACTTGATACTTTAACCTTGCCCCACGCCTTGAACATTGTTATGGTGATCCATTCCTGGAGCTAGATTTTTTTGGAGGTGTTCTTGATAACTTATGTTATCTCACTGTTACAATTCCTTCTTGGAGTTCCTTTGAGCTAACTGGTTACAATGTAATAGGAGTTATGTTTCTCCTACTCAGATTCAGTCCCATTAATCTCTCAGAATTTGGGAAATGGAGGAAATGCAAGGCTGCTTATCAATAGTAGAGTGAAATGAAAGTGAAAATTCTTATCTTTCTCGAGGATCAGAGTTGGGGAAGGTCATTACCAAGGTTTTTGGATTTAACTGGCAAAACCTGATTCATGATTTTTGTTGCTTTCATATTTTATGTACTCCTTTTGTGTGTCATCCAACATGGTTTATGTTGGGATTTTACTCCAATATTTATCCAGTTACTGAGAGAAAATATTTTCCAAGTCCCTCTAGCATAAACATTTAAGGAATTTTTCATGAAATCATGTTTTTGTTTTGTTACTTTAATAACATTTTATCATAAGATCATTTAAGATGTCTACTTTAAAGATTTGCTATGTATTTATGCACGTGCTTTTACAGATGCAGGTATACAATGGGACTTAATGAGCCAGTTAGACAAATTGAAATGGGTATGGTGTAGAGATTAACAGATGGTAATGATAGTAATGGTGATGGTGATGGTAGAAATCGTGATGATGAATGTATAGGACAGATGTATTACTAGGCTGCTTCAAGGAGTAAGAAGGATGTATAAAGCGAGTATTGAGTACAGTTTTTGTTATCTAAGAGCTCATATAGTTTCTTCTCAATGATAGATGAGTCATGCTGCCGAAAATCTACTTCTTTGTCTTATAAATGAAAGTGATGACTAGTGTCCTCTGGAAAATGAGAGAACTTTCTGTAAGGTGACACTGCTGTCTGAGAAACATCTCTATCTGTAACTCCTGTACTCATGCTATGAATGTAGGGTTAAGTGGAGCAACACTGCAAACAAAATCAATCAAAAAAATCTTGCTGATGTCACTAAGTTCGAAGCAAAGACAGAAAGCAGACACTGGTATTAGTATGTTTTGAATACATTTTTCTCATGAAAAGAAAATCATTTATTATTAGGGCAGATGTCAAAGAATCTCTCACTGATTCCAAATGTGAAACTTTACTTTCTACTATAACTTGAAGATTAAATTGTATTTAATAGTTGACAAAATACAGAATAGTTTACGGTATCATAATGCATGCCTAATGACATAGTTTATACTTGTAATAAAATGTTCTTCTTAAATATTTAAATAATTTATTCTTGTATGACTTGAAAAATACTATTTCAAGTGCTACTTTATTATTTAAAAACTCAATATATCAGATCGGATTTTAAGAATGAACATTTTTAATAAACATGATTAATTTTCTTGACAAGTGGAATTTTATCCTACATATTTCATGGATGCTTTTAGTAGCTAATTATTTATAAACAACAATTTAAGGCCTGTTGAATGCTATTACCATTTGTACTGCTAACAATATTATTTAAGTCCCAAAATAATATATCCTTTTGGCTCATTATGCATATTTGATTATTTACTTGCTTAACATTTGTTTACCTGCCACAAGATCAACTAATGATTGTCCACTTGTATCACCATGATACCAGGTCTTCATTTAATTGTGTTTATATAATAAGTCTAGAGAATGATTTCAGTTATGCCTCTGACTATATGTTTAAGCAGAATAATGCCACTGTTTTCTGCTTAATTAGAGCGCAATAAGAATAGGAAAGAAGTTAAGTTTTATAGTTTTATTATTAAATTTTTCAATGGCAGGATAATTAGATTTGATTTCCAATCTGACTTTAAAATGCCACCGAATAACTTGGATAGACCTGTCATTATAATCATCATCATCATGTTTCTCATTCCTCTTGACATCAGAATGCACCAAACAGTAGCAGAAAACAGATTGTAATGGTTCCCGATTATGTGCTATAATCCTTATAAACATTACAGGGGATCTACAGAAGCCTAGGGAACGCACAACATTTATTTTACAAGCTTCTAAATAATAGCAATCACTGACATAATCTGTACTGCAGCAAGAGAACATAAGGACTTGGGGTGTTTCTCACATTTCTGGAAAACACTGGGACTACTCGACCCAAAGTTTTTGAAACAAAAGCACATGAAATAATGATCTCTTTTGAATTCTTCATTGAAATGCTTACTGTGGTAGGCAATCCCAGTATAATGTTTTCCCTGGATACCATTTTTGCAGAGTTGTCACTTTCTATGTCAGATATGATTAACTGGACTGTGGACTGTGGCCCATAATGATGTATAATCACAGTTAATTATCTCACCAGGCAATATAAAAAGTAAGACTATTGGACCATTTAATAAGACAAACAGCATGTTTTCATTTTTTTTCCCCCCTACACTGTGATTGAACACAGGACCCAGGCCTTCACACTGAGATGCATACTGAGCCCTTTGTAATTTTTTTGTTTTTAATTTTGAGACAAGGTCTTGCTAAGTTACCCAGACTGGGTTTAAATTTCCATCCCTTCTGGCTAAGCTTCCCAGAGTTCTGGGATCACAGATTTATGCCCCCACTCCAGATTAACTTTTTATTCTTAAAAAAGTGTTACACTGACCTACTGTGGGTGTGGGCTGGAATCACCCTGGTAGGCTGAGTCAGTTCGCCAGTGGTGACTTTCGACTTAACCTGCTGCCTCTCGTTTCTCACAGCCCACTTCCTCTCACTGGTGTGCAGAGTGAATTCTACTTCCTCAGCCCTAAGAAGCAGAGTCTTCCTCTCCACTAATGACCCACATGTTTGCCAGGTATTTGAATGCTACCAGCAGTTTAAATACTCTGTCATATTTGGAGATTGCTTTATTGTAATTGTTTGGATGCTAATTATTTTTCACAGATTACGTTTTATTACTTTGTAAGCCACATCGCTGGCAGGTTGATGGCGGATCTTCAGACTCCATGTGGTGATCCTATTCGGCATTTATGGCAAAACACAGCCGGTCTCCCAAATCAGTGGCAGAGAACTGTCATCAAAATCCAGAGCTCACAGGGATTTCAGGTATGCATGTTCGACTCTGTTTGGAAGGTAAATGAATAGGAACCAGATTTCCAGTACAGACAAATTAGAAATAAAGTGGCCAGCTTAGTTGGCCAGGGACTTTCCTGCGATTTCCAAATGCTACACGTGGACTGTCCCAGGAAAATTGGTAGGGCTGGTCGTCTGAAAAGACATTTCCACATTAAGATTTTGAATTTATGTAATAAATTAAGTCAGTATATTGTAAGATGTATTGATGTATCAGTAAAATAAAACTTTATAATTCTCTCCTCAGTTTCTTGAACCTTTTTAATTTTTCCTTTTTTTTAAACCTTCTCTTTCTTTTCATTTCTTTTTCCCAAGCATCATTTTCTTTCCAGAATTTTTTATGCTTTTGAGAAAAGAGAAGGTTGGGTAATGAGGAAAGGGATGTTTGATTTAAATACTAATTCCAGACATGGCTCAAGGAGAGTAATTGTCAAATTCATCTCATGGTTAAGCTCAGTTCAATACACCTGTTATTGTCCCAAGTAATTTCGAAAATTAAATCCATTGCAAGCCTATAAAACCCCAAATTATTTATGCAGCCTAATAAAATTTAGGCATAGTGGAAATTATAATCTAATGGTTATTACAAGGGTTCTTAGAAAAGTGTTGCATATTTTAACATTTGAGACAGCCAAGCAAAATTTTCCAGTTAAAAATAAGATTTCAAAGCATTATTTTCTTTGTTTTACTAGGGATAGAACTCAGGGCCTTCACGCTGTAATACACCCCCAGCCCTTTTCTTTGTTTTGTATTTTGAGAGTCTCGCTAAGTCACTAAGTTGCCCATGGGTGTGCTTGGCCCTGAGACCCTCCTTCCTCAGCCTCCCAGAGTCCCAGGTTTACTGGTGTGTGCCACTGTCTTCAACTGAAGATATTTTATTTTTAATTAGTTTAATTTTAAACTTGCTTTGTGGGCAAATTTAGTCTATGTTGGTTTCCTTTAATGTTTATTATGAGAATGATATGATTATTTTATAAATTTTCTGTAGAATACAAATCATCTCCTGTGGGATGATTTTGGCTCTTACTTAAATAAGAGAATACAGGGAATGATTTGGATTCAGGAATCTCAACCTTTCAGTGAATGATGAATCCTGTACTTACAAAAGACATATTTGGGGTACTTGGGACACATTAGGCATAACGCAGTAAAGGTTCTCAACACTGGGATAAGGATGTGAGGAGAAGAGTGTAGGCCCCTAGGCCCTGAAGGTATCCGTTTCTTTGGTGCCATGGACCGAGTGGATTCCCCTGAGAACCAGTCATGCATCTCATTTGTCCTGAAGGTTCAGTTGTTATTAACCACTAGAGAAGTTTGTCATGTATTTCTTATCCTTCTCTTCTTAATTCCCTGTGTCTGCCTGTCTTTTCTTCACCAAAACAACAAAAGAAACAAAATAAAATGAAGACTGCTTTTGTAGGAATCAAGCCAAACCCCGTAGACAATAAAGAGTGGATTTGCTGAGCTATCTTCTCTCCCTGTGATCGTATGAGCTGTAATGACTGAGAGGAAAATTTGCCCATGCATATACTATGTCATAATTTACACATCTTTTTAAACTTTAAAATAGTGTCGATTGTAAAAGTCTTCAACTGTCTTTGCCAAGTTTAGTGCCTTTTAGTATCTACTCGTGTGTATCTTTAGGTCAAGGCCTCTATTAGTGTAACAGGATTTGAATGCTGGGCAAAGTTGATAGCTGCTGGATCTTGTAAGTTAAACCTTCCAGAATAGCTTCAGTGGTTTCTTTGGCTGCCCATTCCCAAATACTACGGAGGTGGTGACTATGTGCGGCAGGTAAATATAAAACTGACAATTGCAGGGTGTTCAGCTATAACAGGTGGCAGGGTTATTCACTTGAGTGCTTTAAATACACAGTGGCTTCACAGAAAGCAGATGCATGTGCACCGTATTAATTTGTTTCCCAAATTACTTTATTGTTGATATAAAAACAGTGCTTCTACTTTAAAGGCTTAGTAAAAATTAGTGGACTGTATGACTCTCTTGGGATACTCTAGCCGTACCAGTCTTTTAAGACTGCAGGTACGTTTCAATTCTGTCCTGTCAGCAAGTGAACAGATGTTCATTTGCTTTTGTTTGGTGGGCCACAGAAATGTGCTGTGCTTGCAATGTAGCCTGCCACGGTCTAGTATCTTGTTCCTGAAGAGTTTTTGTGCAAGGCTCATTTGTGGGGATTTAAAAAATCAATATCCCCATGCAGTATCTGCTGCCTCATCAACTTAGAAGCTTCTGATAATTATTCTTTTTTTGTTTTTTTTGAAAGTTTCCCTCCGTGCTCACTTTTGATAGTTTAATGCCATGCATATGTGCTTCCTTTAGAAATAGCCACAGAGATATTTCATTCCCATCTAGATCCAGCTTAGCATGTACTTTTGAGAAAGCCCTTGGGTCTAGTTCTCATCTGGGGGCTTTATCATGTCCATCTGTAAAATACTAGGTCCATTCTTTAATAAAGTTGAAGTACATTAATTTCCAAGGAAGTACTAGTACATCAAAAAGCAATGATGGGGCCAGGGATTTAGCTCAGTGGCGCCGTCCCCTGCCTCGAGAGCACAAGGACCTGAGTTCCGATCACCGGTACCAAGAAAAAAAAAAAAAAGCAAAGATGTTAGCTACAAAGATGGCACCATTACAGAAGGTTTCTGAAGATGTGTAAGGAATAATGACTACTAATTCTGAAGCAATTTACTGCATAAGTAATTGTGTTTAGCCCTTTGTAGACAAAAATCTAATTGACCCTTAAGGAAATCCTCTGAGGTACAGTGATGGTTTAGCCCATTGTTAATAGGACAATGAGCTTTAAAGAGTTGACTAACCTACCCAAACCCACCCAGACTAGGATCTACGGGAGTTTGATTTCAGATATTGACTGCTTAGCTTCTGAGTCCTAATAATTTTCTGTATCAAGTTAAAGCACTAAAAAGATTTAGAGGAAATGGAAGAAAACAAAAAATAGCTACCAGATTTGGTCAAATCTGTTGCACATGACTCATTAAATATTCTTTTGTTGATTGTGTTGATAATGTTAGAAATTGCATAGTGCTAATTAACTGCAATCACATTTTTCAAATTGCATACATAAACACTTAATTTTACTATTATTCTGCAATGTTCAAAGAGGCAAAAAATAAAATGAGCCAAACATACAGTAGATACTTGGCTCCAAATTGAGATGAACACCCACATTCTTTTAGAAAGAAGCTCATACATTGGTTTTATGGATAGGATGGAATGAATACTAAGTTACTAAGCACATTACTCTCTTTAGTTGAATGTTTGGATTGTTCAACTAAATGATATTGCCTAAGTTGTAAAAGTGCAGCACTTTAAACATTATCCATTTTATTTCTTTGATCCTTTATTTAGAAATACTGGAGAGTTCTCAGCACCCTCTTTAGGAAGAATAGACCTTATTAATAAGAACAAAAGATAAGTTCCTCATAAAAATAGCAATTGCTATCTTAATTTAAAAAATTTAATCCCTTCAAAGTATAATCTGAGACATTTTTACCTTTTAACTCTGTAATGTTTACTATATAAGCATATGATAGGGAAAATTACTGTTATCTTTTGGAATTTCAAAGGTTTGCTTGGGAAATAAACTGGACATATACTGCTAGGTAAGAAAACTCTGGTATAATACATATAATTATGTGTATAGCCATGTAGCTACTAACATAACCCCAGCAGTTTTATATCTGTGATCCATTCACTACCACAGATTCCACAAACATTGAAATCAAGTGATCTGAGCACTGAACTCTCGCCTCTGTTAAGAAGTGATGTTTTTTTCAATGTCTGAGGAGGAGAAATGTGTCCCACATTTACCAGTGAATCAGTGTAAGCCATCCCTGGCTTCTATGATGTTGCCTAACTCCAATCTCACTTTCCTCCCTTACGATCTTCCTTCTTTTCTGGTACCATTTTGCCTTTTAAAAACGATTTCCCCTAAAACTACCAAAATGAAGCAGATGTTTGGAAAAAAAAATCTTTGGCTAAGTTTTGGAGGAAACAAGGAAGGTTAGGTATCATTTTTCTTAGAAACACCATTCCTGTACATCAGCACGGCCTCTACCGCGGCCCTTCATGGGTCCTGGTTCTTTCTCATCATGCTGGAAGCCTATTTTCTTTAGCAGTTTTCTCAGTTCCTAACCAGAACCCCGGAAAAAATATTTTCTGTGTAAATCTATTCAATGATGTCTGATGGATTTTGTTTTGTAGCACAGAGATCCATTAGTAAATTCTCTACACTTGGAGAAATAGTTCTTTCCCTAAGAAACGTTTCTCCTTCTCATATGGCAGCCCATTTTTACAACTTTTCTTCAGCTATCCTGTTAGCATGTAATTTAGCAGAATCAAATAAACATATGAGTTGCAAACTCTGATGAGGTGAGGACTAAGGCAAGAAGGTAATTTCAGAGCTGCTTCAATAAATTGGGCATGAGGATGTAGGATCATAAACAACAAAGGAAGGAAAATAGGCTCCATGTGTCTTAGCAGATTGGACATGAGAGTAGAGGAGAAAGTCATTCTAGGGGTCATTTTGGAGTGTTGAACTCTATTGCCAGAAAATGAGCGAGGTGAGAAGTTCAGCTTGGGGAGAAACAAACACCATACTATGAATTAGAAATGACTCCTGTCATCTGCCTGAAAATGTCTGAGATATGGGAGCAGAGTTTGGGAGAGACAGAAACATTTGTGATATAATTTTGTGCTTCTTCAGCCTGGGTACCAGTTAAAACCCCGAGAACAAATGAGATTTTTTTTGAGGGAGGAGAGAGAGTGTAGAGGAAGAAAAAGAACAGATGATGAAGTTATTTCCACTTCTCTCTATACATGTGGTGACTATAGACATTTGCCTGAAAGCAAGCCTAGAGAATTTATCTGTGTGAGAAAGCTTTCAGGAGATAAAATGTTAATTTGTAGAGACTATTCAAATTTGAGCAAGAAATATACAATTCATATAACAACTTGAATGCCCCAATCACTCAATGCTAAAATAATAGTAGCTAACATTTATTTACTAGTAATTATATACCAGGGAATGTTCTTAATATAATAAGTCATTTTTCCTTGTATACAAGTTATTGTCACATAGGTTTTTATTTTTATTATTGGCATTTACAAAGAAGAAAACAAGGATGGAGATGTCAAACAAGTTCTCCAAAGTTCTGGTGCCAGTAGGGATGTAGCTAGGCTTTAGTATGGCCTGTTATACAGGACCAGATGTGAACGTAGCTCAGCATAGGATCTGCTATGGCTTCTTGCATCCAGACCAGTTGTTTACCTAAGAAGCAGTGTTGACTTTGTGCAATAATAATATATTTATATTACAAGTTTGTATAATGCACACCTGTGTAATATATCCAAGGGGAAGCCACACACATCCTTGGTGTTTCTTAGTCGGGGTGGGATAAAACTCTTCACCAACACACTCATTCCTTTTGATTTAGGTAATTAGAATTTGGAAAGTGGCTTCTTTCTAAGTTTCCCAGACTAATTGCATCAGGATATTTCTTCTTGGTGCAGACTTGGGCTGGTTAGGGATCATTTTGTTCAGCACACCCAAATTTCTGCAGAAATTACCACATACAAGGTACCATTCAGGCATTTTAACAATAAGTTCCTGAACAACCCATTCCTAGTCAATATCCCGAACTGTGTTCAGATGATGGCAGAGAATGTGCACAGAGAGCCCAAGGACATCCAGGGCATGACAATAAAATTGAGAGAACCAGAGGTGAAAATGGAACACAATTCCAAAATGCCAAGAAGCAGCAATCAAAATGAAGCCTGGGCCCTAAAGCTGGTAAATGTCAAGTACATGAACACATCAGAATGGAACACAGAAGGCGGTTGCAAGCTGGAACTAGATGAGTATTATTTCATTTCCCAAATGTCCTACCTAGCATGTGAGCCATGCAAAGTAACGGCCTTACATTTCTTTGTCCTTGAGAAGTATTGGCATTGATTTCTTTTACATGGAATTGGCGTGGTCTCCCATGTTTCTTGGAAGTGACATTTTTTCTTTGTAGGCTCTCTCTAGGAGCATTGTGCGGTGAGTGATGCCCCTTGCCTTGTGTTTTTGTTTTGTTTTGCTTGTCAGGTTGTTTTTCAAGGTCAAATGATTGCCGCCCATGAACAGGATGAAGTCATAGCTATCGATGACATATCTTTCAGTTCAGGCTGCTTGGCTGCAGATGGTAAGAATGTGTACTCTCATTTTGATCCTTATTGTATAAAATAAAATCAGTGCAATTTAAATAGTGTAATAACTTTGATCTGCTCTCTGCTTTTGCCTGGTGTTTCAGTGCTGGGATAGTTTCCATTGTTTTAATGCATTGTGTAACCGTGACTGGATGTGGATGTTTATATGGTGTGCTGGAAGTGAAGGCAGGCTATTTTTCACAGACTGTGATGCTATAAAGAGCTGAATAGGATAATTTACTTTCAGATTAGAAATCTCACAGCAAGATTTACACGGGGTAGTTAAACCTTAACAAGAGAGCTCTGTGCCTTCCAGGAGGCTGGTAGAAAACTGGTCTCCATGGACTTACAATTGTCTTGGAGAATTGGTTTGATCATGATTATGCTTCAAAATATAAAATAAGGACCAAGATATCATTTATAATCTATTGTTTATTTAGACCAAAAAATATGCCGATAAAGCACATAATTCAGATCTAAAGATGTATTTTCTTTTACTGTGAAATACTTGAGACTGAGTGGTTTATAGTGGGAAGAGGTTTAATTACTTCACAGTTCTGGAGGTTCAAGTGCATGGTACCAGCATTTTCTTGGCTCTGGGGAGAACCTCATGGCAGATTCCCATCATGGTGGATAACATCATAGCAGGAGAGAGAGAGGCAGAGGGGCAGAGGGGTAGAGAGACAGGGAGAGAGAGAGAGAAACAGGAAGTCAGAGAGACTTGGGAGAGGTCAGGTATGCTATCATTGATCACGATCCCATGAAATCCACGTTGGTGTCTTCCAAAGGTGGTGACCTCAGTCATCCAGTGACCTCATGCAAAGTTCCCACCTCCTTTTAACATTGTCACTTTGGGGACCAAGCTTCCAACACTTGCACTTTCTGAGGACACACACCATACTTAAACCATAGTATGAACCATAGTAGCTTTTTTTCCCTTTTTTTGGCAGAGAGGGGTCCCAATTTCTAATTTGGTACAAAGCTACAGTGCTTGTGATAGCTAGTATTTTAAGAAGAGATGTGCTCTTTTCCCTAAGAAGGAGTAAGGGCCTCTGTGACTGCACTGTACTAGGATTTTCGGAATGTGCTCTTGCTGGTGTTTTTTAGAGCTCATGGATATTATGTGAATCTTGCCTACCACGGTAGGATTTTCTAGCAACTGGTCATAGCCTCTTCTACCACTGGGACACATAAAGGAGGTTTTCCTCCCTGTGCTCAATTATATATCAGGTAAGAAATAACTAGATTAGAAATTTAAATACAGATGAATTGAAATAGAGAAGTTAAGAGTCACAAATTGCACACTTCTCCCATTTTAAAAAGTAAATATCTAAGGTATCAGCCTCTATGCCTTGTCACTAAAGGAAAGTAACATTTTAGATTTATCAGTAGGGATGCCATGTATCAGTGTCAAATATATAGTAACTGCAGGCAAAGAAGTCTCAACTGCTGACTGCTTATGTTCAAAATCTCCTCATCCTCTCTTTTCTGTTACCTTGTGTGATATTTCTGGATCCAGAGCACCGGCAGTTTACACTTGATTTTTAATGAGCCCTTTAATTTAGTTCCTAACCCTAAGCATTTCAACAGTATCTTTTATATCTCAGGTCTATAGTTTCAGCAGAAATTTGGGTTTACCAAACAAAATGACCCCTAACTGGCAGTATTCATTTGCTAGTCTAGCTAATCACCCTTAAAAGAGAAATAGTCAATGATATCAGCTATTGGCTGGATTTCCCTCACTGGTGGCCTACTGCCATCAAAAGGAAACTGCGTTTACATTGCAAGTTGACAAAAGAACATTCCTGGGCTTGGGAGTGGAGATTTCCTATAATAAGACCCTATTCTTATGTCAGATATTTCAGAAGTTTCTCTCTGTCATGGGTTCTGGGACCCAGTCATTTCCCAAGTTATCCTGATCCACATACTAGGACAAAGGCCAAGGTCAAAGAGCCATAATAAATATTCAGAAGATAAATGTCGGATTTTTGTAGCAGGTACTTCAAAGACTTTATAAAATAAGTATAGAAGTAAAAACAAAACAAAACAAAACAAAAAAAACAAGCGTCTGTAGATCCTTAGTTGGAATGGAAACATGAGAAATTTGTACATCCAAGGGAAACTTGTGGTCTAACCAAAAAATATTGAAGTCTACAATTTCCAAGGCAATTGTTCCAGACATCATTATAATTGAAATGTATTTGAGGTGGTGTGGGAATGAAGTTCACTGAAGATGAGTCATCAATAAGTTTCAAGGCCCTTTCTTTCTTTCTTTCTTTTTTTTTTTTCTTTTTTTTTTACTGTACTTTGATCTGAGCATTAAATCCATACAACATGACAAAGCTTGAGACTAGAAAGGAGGACTTTGAAATTCAATACTGAAGTCTGCAAAAATGTGGAATTTATACATAAGTGGGTGACAGCATGAGGAGATGAATGCATGAACTTAGGTGTTTTATACATTGAAGGATAAATAATTATGTAGAAGAAAAATTAGGGATTTAGAAGAATGGTAACCTTTATTTTAGGCTTTGTGTTTTGTGGGATATTAGAAAAGGAAGCTACCTACTGGGAAAGCTGCAAAGGAAATGGTTCTTCTTGTGGAAAAAAATCAAGATTTAGGTAAGATCACCTGATGTGATCTTTGAGGGGGAGTGTACAGTGAGGGGCTTTGTTTTTCAAATACAATAAAAATTGGCATATTTAAACTCCTGGAAGGAAAACAACACCATGAGGATTTATAATGGAGGTAAAACATAAACTATGATGGGATAGCCTTGGTACTTGGATGCAGTTGTGTTTTGTAAATGACAGCAGTGTAAGAAATGGTAAAACTAAACAGCATTACATTTCCAAATGGAACTTACTAGAGAAGTTAAGTCTTGCTCGTAACAAACTCAGCCTAGTTAATCATCAGAATCACATAAGGAAGTGGGCTTGATTCTGGGCTGCCTTCCAGATCTGTTAGATGAGAATCATTGAAGATAGGACCTGCAATTAAAAGGTTCTCAGGATTTTTTTTGTGACATGGCCAAGTCTGAGTTTAAGAACAGGACTAGGATGTAGGAATTCCAGGTCCTAGGTCCATGCTGATTATTGCACTTGGCAATGGTGGTCCTAGAGCAAAGTTCCAAATGACTGCAATCAATGGTTTCAGTCTCATGAAGTCCTGGTTGGCAGCAGTTGGGGTGGAGAGAGAGAGGCAAAGCCAAACTCATATCTTCTGAACATTTCCTTTAGAATATCCTATTCTAGTGGGATAGAAAGCATTTAGATGCAAAAAAACAGTCTGCTGAAATGACTGAAAACCTAGAGGAAAGAGACAGTTATGGTATAGATTCTTCAACTCCAACACTGAAAGTCAAGGATAAAGTGATCTTTTTTTTTTAACCTATGCCACAGCCTGAATATTGAACTTCTTTTGAATTTCCTTTTCCAGAGCAATTAGTCCACTGTTCTCAGTCTCTGCCTCCTGAAAAGTCTTGGGATGTGGTCAAAATGTAGAATTTTTTTTTTTTTTTTTTTTGGCTACAGTATAACACACATGGCCTTTAGTCCAAGGCCAATGGAATCCTTGTGTTTCCAGTTGAAACCTCCTAAGCTTGGCCCTTACAGTCCACATTTTCATCATCATTCTGGTCTTCTGAGCTTCAGTAATCACCTATCAGGCTATGCTTATCATATTCAAAACCTGCCCTGGCTGCATATCCAAACCTTTCCAAATTCCTTCCACAAACCTGTTCTAAAAGTTTCTAGACCACATGCTTATGTATGGTCACAGCAACAGCCCCATTTCTCTGGTACCAATTATCTGTGCTAACTTTCCTGTTGCTCAGATATAATACCCAACACACAGCTTCAGGGGATGGAAAATACTGTCTGTTTTTTGAGAAAGACAAGCAGACAGAAATTGAGAACTGTAATTTTTTTCCCCTAAACAAGAAGGTTGATGTCTAGTCACTTTCTTATTTTCTTAAGAACACATGATCTCCCCTTAAAATGAAATACAATGGCCACCAACAAATAATCATATCAACTGGGATCAGGCAATATTTATTCCTCACATGTCAGAAAAGGGAGGAATGAAAATTATTCAGAACATCCAGGATATCTTATGATATAGCAATGGACATAGAAAGTGCTTAGCAATCAATAATTGTGATTGGAAAACAGATGCAGTTTAGATATAATCTTAAGCAAATCAATAAAGTGTCTATTCCTGTATTTCTTCACATGCCCTTTCCTGGCATTTTAGCAACTTCAGTGAATTCTTTGGTGTTACATTGATCACACAATTGATATTGCTGGAAGCTGTGTTTTGAATGTGCAATTTGGCTCATTAATGAAGGAGTTTCTTCAGGTAATGACCTGCAAGAGACGGATGAAACTAAAACACAGCACTACTGATAAGATATCACAGAACCATAACCTGCTTGACTCTTTAAAAATCACTGCAAATGCCCAATATGCTCAACAATGAAACTGGCAGTAATGAACGGCTGCTCTGTCCACCTCTGCTGTAAATGCCTTGGAGGACAGAAAGATATCTAAAGTACATAGTAAATGAGCTGACTAGCCAGGAGTGTAAGACAAAAATTAAATACGTAAAACAATCACAGAGCCAAGAATAGCAGTGATAGTTGTTCAGTTCTTTCATGTGGTTTGAGGAAATATGTGCACCCATTTGTTATGAGATATTTCTACATAGCTAAAAGTTTCAGAGGTAACTTCTAAAGAGTTTGTTTATAGCTGAGAATTAACTCCAAATGAATAGGTTTTATTATCACCCACGGAATTGTTGGAAGCAAATAGTCCTTAGAAGTGAGCCCGATAAAAAGAGTGCAAAGATAAATTTTTCTGACCCTTTTCCACCGCTCCTCACCTGTATTGTACATGATCAACAGGTCTTCACTCCCTTCTGCATCAGAATAGGCAAGAGATATGTATTTTGGATATTGAGGCAACAAAGCAACCTCATATGAGGTAGCTTATTTTT